TAATAGAAGAAAATATATTGGGGCTATTGGAAAATAATGTTAAGAATTTAATTTGGTAGTTGAAAGCTGCTGAGAGTCGCTTGGAAAACGTTCATTTACGTTATCAACCAGCTTTAATAAATGAGATTAGTTCTGAATAAATAATATTGCTCAGGATCTTCAATGATGATGTTTAATCATCAGTATAGAGTTGCGTAGATCAATGAGTTTTAATTAAAATCAATGTTAGGTCATCATCGAAAGTCTAAAAGCACTGAACATTAATCCGTTGAATGTCAGTTCAGCGATCTACAGATTAAGCATTTAGGCGTGAGACTGATGGTCCTGTGTTTAAAGCCTGTGTGTGGACTTCGTGGGTGCGTACTTCTGAGAAGCCTCATACTAGAAACAAATGACCATCCAGTGCTTCCAGGATTTAAATGGTTGTCTAACATTGTTCGATGTTTAGTCAGTTATAATCACCTCAATGCCATCTGACATTAAGTTATTCGTTGCAATTCAGTTACCACTAGAGAGTAGGTATTAAAATAAAATTCGATACTAATACATGACAAAGTAGTCTTAGTTTGACCATCTACTGCCACGAGTTTTTATGGCTCAAATGATGAATAAATATATCTTAGTCCATAACTTTTAAATGTCGACATATTAATGGCACTTAGTTTTCTTCCTAATATGTAATTTTTTATAGGAGTTTGTACAATTAATAAGATGTTATTTTTGTCATATTCAGCTGTCAGTTTAGTTGGAATCACATCATCTTTCAAAACTGTCAAAGTATTTATTTAACATTTAATTATGATGGAGATAGCTTTTTGAAATATTTTTTTAGGAATCATTCATATAATGTATTAAACAATACTGTACTCCTTTCCAATAAATCTGGATAACTGAATTGTTTACATAAATTGGTTTAAGTTAAAAGTTAATAGAAACAATAACGGGGAGGATTCGCATGCATATAGCATACAGTTGTCTTTGAACCTAGTACACAACAATAGCATCATTCACTGTCCCATCGGTCTTGGTAGATCAGACAACCCGAAAGTTACGAGAACACCATCAGGGCATACGACAGGCTAGGTAACACAAGTTAAAAGTTACTGAAACTAAAACTCTGAAAGAGTTAGTAAGTCTATTAGTAGTATTGATGTTTCTATTTCATGCAATATGAATTACGGTTAACGAAGAGATTAAATTTAAAGTGATTGCCAACTCAGAATGTGATAGACAGAAACAAGCAATTCATGATAATATTAATCTTTTTTAAAATATTTCAATAACATACAATAAAATGAATAAATGTCGATCGTGTATATGAAGATGAATTCATCAATGAAGTTTACATTTTGATCATAGTATTTAAGTTAGATATGAAAATTGAGAACTGAAATTATTTACTGATTATTGCGAACTTAAATATTAGCATTACTTACATAACTTACTATAAATGAGTGATCTATAGAAAGTATTTTGCTTAAACTGTTAAAATGTTCAAACTAGTAGTTGTAATGTAGAGTTTATATTGTACTGAAAGTGTAGTATGAAATAAGGTCACTATTCATAATAATAATAATAATAATAATAATAATAATAGTAATAATAATAACACTGAAAGCTCATCCATAATCAAATACCATTTTGGTAACCAAAACACTTCTCTTTCTGTATTTGGGACACTTGTTTAATAAAATGACAGATTTCTGTAAATGGACAGATAAAAGAATACAGTATTCAGGAACGAATAGTAAACTTTGAAATTACAATCATAGAAATGTCACTTTATAACATGTAATAAAACTGAGATTTAATTTAGGCCTAATAAGAGTTTATAAACATAATGTGGAATTTTTCATTAAACAAGATCATTGTTTCGTGAAAAACCTTGAAAGACATCATGTTTACGTCTTAACTACATCAAAGTTTAATCTTCTTAAATGATTTCATCTACGAACGCCTTGTTTTGTAGTCTCGAAATAGAAAACCACATAAACCAAGGAAAAAAAACAGTTAAAGATCAGTTTCTGAACAAATTAGACAATGTTAAGAATGTTTTGTTAAGAAGTCATAAACAAGAATGAAATATGAATTCACTTGGCATTGTTTACTTGAATTTTTCCGTTGATGTTTAGGACTGTAATTGATTAGTCTATTATTGGCATATATGCATACTGTACGTATTGCCTCGATGTTGTCTTAATTCACAATTATTATAAGCAAAGATGAATAGTGGATAGCAGCAGAATCCAGGGCGCGCGTTTCGTTCTGATTCAAGTAAACAATACCAAGTGAATTTAAGCTTCACTCCAATGCACAAGCAAGTGGCTATCATGACTCAGTAGATAAGTGGATATAAAGCGATGGAGTTTGAAGCGAACGGTACTGGTTCTGAGTCCCAGAGTAAACATCAACTGTGAGATTCAGGCACATCCAGCTGACAAGTCCCAAATAGGACGAAACGCTCATGCTATAGTCCATTGTTAGCCACAATCCATCTTTGCTTATAAGAATGAAACATATGTCTAGTTACATTTGATGTACGATGTGAACAATCTTCAACTTTGGTACAATAAACAAATTGGTACTATGTATATGAACAGTTTTGACTATACTTTAGAAGAAATATTATGTGATATTAACTTATTGATTGAAGACTAAATTCATTTCACATATAAATCCAGTAAGAAATATAATCAAGTTTGTTCATTTTGTTGTCAAAATAAAATAATCAATCAAGGTCTTTTATGATTACACTCGTCTACAGTAAAATGCAAATGATTTTTGGTAGAATTTCGACCATGAAATAATTAGTTAAACCGAAATAAACGTCTAGTAATGACTAAGGCCTCACTATTCAAAAAAATTCTCTCATGTAATGAAGTTGAATTTTCTTTATTAATAATAATCTCAGTAAATTATTTCTTATTAACCTTATTTCGAATAATATAAATTGAAAGCTATTAACTTTTCTTTGATAAGTTATAAGGTTTTAATAGTGGTTTACTGTGATTCAATACGAAGTGAACACTTACATCATGAATACAATCTCCACATGACAGGAGTTAACAGCAGTTAATTCTGCCAATTCATTTTATTAATCAGCCAGAAAATAACAAATCCTATAGATATAGAAACCAACTATGCTTTATAAACATTTGAAAGTCCATCAAGTATGATTTTCAACTTAAAAAAACAAAGGTTATCAATTTGAAAATAAAAACAAAGTGCAATTTTAAAAAGTAACATTGAATTTTGTAATAACAATTAGGTCACATAACTTTATCATAGTTTTACAAAAGCATCCAAATGTTATGAAAATAATCATTTCATAGTATAAGTATCCAAAATTACCAACTGTTTTTGATAAGAAAATAAATGAAATGGAGATATTGTAAATACAACATAATAAAAACCAAGCATATGGTTGATTAATATGTTTTCAAGAGAGAAAAAAATTGTAACATATAATTAACAACTCCAAGTAAATAAAATATTTTGATTTAGTAAAAATTATTCAGTTCACATCAAAGAAACAGTTCTTCAGTTACCGTACTAAACGGAAAAGTCTATCGGATTTCATTGAATCTCAATCGTCTCCAAAATCTTCTACTGAAAATTATCATTTTCTCATTAATGAGCAGTTTTGAGAAGAAATTTTGGGAATCCCAATGAAAAGACGTGATCAATCGAGTTCAATCGTTTCAGCTGTTAGGCAGTTATTTACCTAAGACAATCGAATATGGTAACACAATGCCATGGACTAATTGGAGTTAGACATTTACACCATCCAATACTGGATCAGTGTTCTAGGGGTTAAGTGTTTTCGCTCGAGATCGAATGTCCTAGATGGGTCCGATTTCTATTCGTTGGGTTGTGGATGAGCACTGATGAGTAGTCCCATACTAGAATGAAACGGCCGTCCATTGATTCCAGGTTTTGAATGTCTGTCTAACTTATATTGACTCATGACTTCAATGAAATGATATAAAATACATAGTAGTTAGATTTACCGATTTATCATTCATATTTGTACTACTTCCGTTTTCAATACATCATGCGCAGACAATATAAGATTGAAGCCATTTGTTATTTATTATTATCTCTTAGAGCTGGATAAAAATCACATGAATTTCTCTGTAAGAAAATTTCTGTGTGTAGAAGCTATAATTAATGGATAAGAGTTCAAAAAAGATTTTCTGTAGTCCAACTATTTTATTTCACAAGTTATTCATTAAGTATATACTACTCAAACTATCAAATAAACACACAACTACTGATGTTTTTTTAAAAAGCGTTTGTTTAGTCTTAAACATATGGAATTCTCAATTTTCGGTTTAGTTTTTTTTAAAAGTGTAAGTAAGTTCACTACAGATATGAAAAGAAAAAAATCACTACAAGTATGGTTGAAAGGTAATGAAATTAAATTTCTTGGAAGACGATAAAAAAGTTGGCTAATAAAGTGGCAATTATCCAATCGAGGGGTAAATGGTTTAAACTCTAAAGATTTTGATTATAATGTAGTAACAACAATAATAATTGTTAGTATTATTAATCACAATAACAGTATTGTGACGAGTTTGTGGAATTATAGTTATTATAACAATCCTATTTGCTCATTTGCATGAATGGGATGTTAATTTGCCTTAGATGAATATTGACACTAAATTCCCTCTCAGTGTCTATTCTACAGAATATTAACACAACTCAGATCAAGAACACGTGACTAGCCTCACTAGAACGTATGTATATTTCCATACCAAAAACTGACAACAATCATAATTAGGGTAAGAGAATATATAGCTCATTTAGCATCTGTCAGACTATCTACTAGCCTATGTACTAGTGTTAACAATAGTACTGAGATACAAGTAAACACAGTTGACAAGTCTCAAATGAAATGAAACGTAAACACTGGATTTTATTGCTAGTCATAAATAAAATTATCCAGAAATAAATCAATATATGTTATAAGTTCATTTTATTTTTTTCTTGAATTTTAGTTTCACACGGATGTCAGGTTAACTGAAGTGAATCAAACATTACTCGGTCGACCATTAATCATTACACATGAAACAAACAGTTTCCCGTTTGATAATTACGGTCGTTATTTATATGAATACATGAATCCTGGGTCATTATTAAATGTATTCTATAGCAAGAGCATAACTAAACGATTAAATACTCGTCGAAATCCATGTACTTCAAGGCCAATTAATTTATTAGGTAACAGTTTCGATTATGATCAAGTAAGTTGGTCTATCATAAATAAAAGTTGATCATGCTCTACATTTTTCCAACATTAATGTTAACTTTTGTTAAAATTACAAACATTTACAATTTTTAACACACCATAATGGTTTATACAAATGGTGTACGAATAATATTGTGTGGTAATTCCCAATGATGATAGTTTCATATGAGAACTGTAAGCGAACATAATGTTCCTTAAATTAGAAAATCTATCCAGACGTTTAGGCATTTTTATTATAAATTTGAAACTTTTATCGAATCTGTGTAGTAGTTAAATATCCGGGAAATTTAAGATCAACAGCTGAATGGTAGTAGTAGGTGAACGAATGAACGAGACTGAAATTTCATCTCTCTTGAGATGAACATATACATTCTCCCCCCACTCAATTTGTTTATTGGTTAAAATATCTCTGAAAAATTAGTTCAGGAAGCAATCTTTTTACTTTCGTCGAAATATGTACTGAAATTACTATTCGATATAATTTCAAGTATATACTGAAGAAGGAATAAGAATTCTTTTATAAGTTGTGTCAAATAATAAAAACCCATAGTCTTTTATTTGTTCTTAATGCGACTGGACAGAATAAAGATGTTTATTTATTAGTTGTTTGTTGGGTAGTTGGCATGGTTGTGTTTTACACGCTCATAGGAGATTGCAATGAAATATGCACGTAGATTATCCGAGGCCCAAAGGACTTATATGATCATATCACAGTGACTATTATCTACAATGAAACCCAAGATTCAGAGATTTTATTGTCATTATGTGTCATCTTTCATTCCATCTCATTTTGACTTTATGGTGGATAATGTTAATAATGTTACAGTATTGATCTAGATTCTGAAGTTTCATCAAATAAATACTTGAAAATGAGAAATCACTTACAGAACTATTTATTCGCACATAAACTCATCAGACGAATGGTGTCATATTGCCATATAAGTGATTACTTTCATAAGGCTTAGCTTAAGTTTAAACATGAGGAATCGACTGAGGATTTAGTCATACGTGCAATCCATGTCAAGCTTATCTACAAAGCTAACTATCTCATTTATTTTTGAGAAGAAAAATACTTATAAATTTCATTGGCTGTTCTAAATCAAAGACCATTAACTACTATGGTTTTAGAGTCAGCTATTTCAAAAGAATAGAACGATTAACGTCAATAAACTTAATCCAAATAGTCTTAAAATTCTTTTCTGAGCAAATACAGATTTTTCAAAAAAATTGCATTAAAGATAGTTCCTATTTCAGTTTTTAGATAAAGCAAATAACTTTTAACATTTTTTAAACCCTTTTTTATAATGATTTTTCCCCATTTTGTTCAGTTGCTGTCCAATCGATGCTTTATGTATATAACTTCTCATATGAAATCAAATTTACTTCCGTATATTTCTAATTCATTAAGCTGATTTATCATAGAGCAGAGAAAAACGTTTTTTAGTGGTAGAATCACAGAGTTGATAATTTTTTATTATGGGATTTTGAGTATGGATTGTAATTTGGTTTATTTAAGTGTAAAACACGATGGACTAGGTTCGTTAAGACACGTGATAAGTTGTAACCATGGCAATTCCGGTTAACAAACGTTTTAGTTCGAAGAAGCGGGCAACTAAACTATGAAATGGTATCTATCGACAGATCAGTACCTTGTAAACTGAGACGCGTTGACGGGTCCAAACTTCTGATTGATGTGATCGAAATAGTTATAATGTACATTTGGATATTTTCGATGACATAGTCGTATCTTCCTATGCTGTGTATACTGTTAAAGATTCACAAAAAATCTCTATCTAGAGAAATTTAGTATACATACCTTTATTTTGTTTAACGCTTATAAATCCACATTTTATCCTATTCACGATAGTAATAAAATCAATATAATAAGCTTTGAGATAAGTGAAATGATGTCCTGAGCATACCATCTGTATCTCCCTCTTTTCTAAATTTCCAGTACTGAGAGATTATTGAATAATTGTATTTATGCATCAATCCAACTAAGATCTATATTTATTTTTTTGTAAAATAAGATAACACTTCGGTCTTGTCAAATTTATTGTTAAGGTGTTTTATTTATTTTTAATCTGAACATACAACTTACAGTCTCTTTCTACTTATGTTATGTAATAATTTCGATCGATTGGTTCAACACTATCAAAGATAGGAAATCATCACATATAGTGCTTAGAATATTCATCCTGTATAGTAAATTTATTCCACTTTGCACTGGCTTAATTTGCATATCACACACTAAATAATCACTAATTAAATAAATCAAAGTCAAAAATTAACATTCGCCAGTTAAAGTGCGAAATATATATCTCGCTATTCTGTTTTTTTAATTGAAACATTTGTGATCTCGATTTACTGTTTTTTATAATTTTGTTTAATCATTTATCGATATTCTTTAGATCACATGTCAGTGGCATACGGTTTGTGCACGATACAACAAAGAATGTAATTGTACATGCCCTTTGGAATTACTTCGTCTTCGATTGGATCGTGAGATCAAAAGTAGAGCTTCGAATAAGTCATTCTTTTTTAACACTGATCATAACCGTCAACAATATCGATCTAAAAATTATTGTCCACCTAATTGTCAACTTGACTATCGTATAGCCTTTGTGAATAACTCTATATGTCCATTGGCATGTCGTACAGTAACTTATAAAAAGTTAAATGAAGTTCTAGACAATATTACAGATCGTTCAGTTGTACAATTAGAATTAATTCAAGCAGAAGGTTTAACTGAACTGACTGAGGAAGCGTTGTATTCATTGCCTAAATTATTTAGTGAAATAGGTGGATTAAGTTCATTCTGTTTTGGATTTAGCTGTATTCTGTTTTTCGAATTATTGGAATTAGCTTTTTGGTTAAGATGTACTTATCGTTCACAATTTCTTGAACGTGTAACAAAGATGTTAGGACAACACATGGAAATTATTGAAGAACCTAATGACAAGACTTTCAAAAATCTTCAAAATACAACTAATAAACTATCATTTACAGAAAATGTTTGGCAAGTACAAGATAAACGATGTAATAAACTACATAACAAAAACACTAGCTCACAGGTGCAAAAACAAAGAAAAGATGTGTCATTACGTCCAGTTACTTCAGTATCAAAATGGACTTCACATGACAAACTAAAAGGAAAATCATATAAATGTTCATTAATATGTATACCAACCCGGTTGAAATCTCGCAAATCAAATCGTATTGAATTAAACCCATTAAAAATGTATAAAGTTGATGGTACACGCTTAAGTGAATATCCTAAAGATCAAGATAGCCCATTAATCGGTTTAAAATCGCAAAAAACTTTTCTTTCAGAAGAACCTACATTGGAAATACATCGAAGTTCTTCTAAATATGTTCAATATCCAATGAATTTATCTGCCTTCAATGATAAAGTTCAGATTTTAACAGTTCCGGTTATTTTAAATAATCATTTATTTCAAGTTGCTATAGACTACGAGATAGCTTTATAAAAATGGTTATATGAATATAGTTATTTATATATTTTCATTTTATGACATTATTATTTTATTTTTGAAACAAATACCCAAACTATCATCAATTTATAATGTATTGAAGATCATAAATTAAACATTTCTTTGAATAAATCTTCATTATGAAATGAATATTTTCCAAATTCAAATAAACTTCATAAATAATTAGCTTATTAAAATAAAGAATTTGTTAGATGATGTATAAAATTTTCATATATTGAACTTATTGAGTGTAAATTTATAGATTTAAAGAAAGTATATGTGTATTGAAACTGTATATGAAATATGATATATAGATATTTTTCTTTATTCCCTTACTTTCAATCAATTCTAGTTGCTAAGATTCATAAAGGGATATATTACTAATAATACATGAGTTAACTTGTAGATGTCATAACTAGTTATTTGTCAGTCTAACTAGGCCATTTAATTGTAAGAATCTAATTTACTAAGCCTCATAAATGATATTGCTCTTCAAATGTTTTCCCCAACATATATTTGTTCACATAATTAAAGTAACCCATAGTGTCATTGAATATGAAAAAGAGAATTCAGCAAAGTTTGTCCAATCAGCTTTTCAGAAAATCGATTCTGGTATTCGCCATGGCAAACTTGACAGAAAAACTAAGAAACCCACTGAGTTTCTTTACTGTCACAGGATCCTTGCAGCTCTTCAGATAATTAAAATAACCCATAATGTTATTGAATAAGAAAAAGAGAATTCCCTTTTTCGTATATTTGTTCTATAAATATGAACCATTAAACCTTTAGTCAATACTATTTAGTTAAATCATCTAGGCAAATAAATTTACACTTTTAATGGATCATATCATGGAACATTAAACAATTGTCCTAATATTCATTTTTACGATCCTACCAATATATGTATTCAGAATTGATTTAAGCACTCTCATTCTATTTAATACTAATTATGAAATTATTCTTCTTAATTTTCTAGGTTGATCTATATTATACAACACGTAGTTTATTCAGTCAGTAGACTGTTCAAGGTCATTAAACATATTAGGTGATGATTTCGAATTCTCACTATTGGCTTGATTTGTTTATGCTATATTCAGCAATTGAATAAATTTATGTCGTCATTCATTTTAATGAAGGGATTACTAATTACAGATTTATGTAGATTTAAATTATACATTATTATTTTATAAATTAGATTTGCTTCGAAAAGTCCCGGAAATTTTGTTTGATGTATTCTGTAATGAACCATATCAAGAAACAATTTATCACTTTTACTTACTTACTTACGCCTGTTATTCCCAATGGAGCATAGGCCGCCGACCAGCACTGTCTAACCCACTCTGTACTGGGCCTTCCTTTCTAATTCCATCCAATTTTTGTTCATCCTTCTCATGTCTATTTCCATTTCCCGGCGTAATGTGTTCTTTGGTCTTCCTCTTTTCCTTCGGCCTTGAGGATTCCATGTGAGAGCTTGTCTTGTAACGCAGTTGGGTGCTTTCCTCAATGTGTGTCCTATCCACTTCCAGCGCTTCTTCCTGATTTCTTCCTCCGCTGAGATCTGGTTTGTTCTCTCCCACAGTAGGTTGTTGCTAATAGTGACCGGCCAACGGATCTGAAGTATTTTGCGTAGACAACTGTTAATAAACACCTGTACTTTCTGGATGATGGCTTTTGTAGTTCTCCAGGTTTCTGCCCCATACAGTAGAACTGTCTTGACATTTGTATTGAAAATCCTGACCTCGGTGTTGGTTGACAGTTGTTTTGAGTTCCAGATGTTCTTCAGTTGTAAATATGCTGCTCTTGCTTTGCCGATCCGCGCCTTCACATCTGCATCAGATCCACCATGTTTATTAATGATCCTGCCCAAACATGTAAAGGTGTTTACATCTTCCAAATCTTCTCCGTCAATTGTGATTGAATTGGTGCATGCTGTGTTGCATCGAAGAATCTCGCTTTTCCCTTTGTGTATATTGAGACCTACTGCTGCTGAGGTTGCTGCTACACTGGTCGTCTTCTCCTGCATTTGTAGTTGCGTGTGCGAAGTCTAGATCGTCCAACTGCATCCTAGATGTCCATTGTATCACGTGCTTCCCTTCCGATATTGACGTCTTCATGATCCAGTCGATCACCAGGGGAAAGAGAAAGGGTGAGAGTAAGCAGCCTTGCCTGACACTGGTCTTTACTTCGAACGACTTTGTCAACTGTCCTCCATGCACAATTTCGCAGTTTAATCCATCGTATGAGTTCTGTATGATATTGACTATCTTCTGAGGCACGCCGTAGTGTCGAAGAAGCTTCCATAGTGTCGTCCTGTCCACGCTATCAAATGCTTTTTCGTAATCAACGAAGTTAATGTAGAGTGATGAATTCCATTCAATTGATTGTTCCACAATGATCCGTAGAGTTGCGATTTGGTCTGTACACGATCTATTCTTACGGAGTCCTGCCTGTTGGTCACGAAGTTGGGAGTCTACGGAGTCTTTCATCCTGTTTAACAATACCCTGTTGAAGACTTTTCCCGGCATTGAGAGAAAAGTGATGCCCCTGTAGTTATCACAGTTGCTGAGATCGCCTTTCTTCGGTATTTTGATCAGAAGTCCTTCTTTCCAGTTTTTTGGTACTTGTTCTTCATCTCAAATCCTATTGAAGATAATGTGGAGTATCCTTGCAGTTACTGCTACGTCTGCTTTCACTGTCTCTGCTGAAATGTCGTCTGGTCCTGCTGCTTTGCCACTCTTGATTTGTCTGATGGCTATGCTGGTCTCTTCAATTGTTGGTGGGCCAACATCGATTTGGAGGTCCATGGGTGCTGCTTTGATGTTGGGTGGGTTCAATGGGGATGGTCGATGTAAGAGTTCTTTGAAGTGTTCTACCCACCTGTTTCGTTGTTATTCAGTGTTGGTGATTACCTCGCCTTCCTTGCTTTTCACTAGTCGTTTTGGTTTGCGGCGATTTCCAGACGGTTTCTTTATCGTGTCGGACAGTTCTCTCATGTTTCCTTCTCTCGCAGCCTTTTCCGTCGTCATTGTTAGATCTTCCACATATTTACGTTTGTCGGTTCTGATGCTTCGCTATTTATCACTTTTAGTATCAATATATCATGAAGAAATATGAATGATCCATGATTACTCGCAAACTAGTTTTACATCTTCACATAAAACATCAAATATATTTGATAATTTAACAAGTTCGTAGCTTTATGTAGTGATGTTTACCTTTGACTGATAGATTTACATCAATGATCTTTATGTAGCAGATGAAATTTATATTTTACATAAGGTTATGAGTAAAAAAAATATGTCAAACTACTAATAAGAAGGAAGAAACAAGTCATTATGTAAATTAGATTATTTGTTATTCGACAAACCCCAAGTGTGAAATATATAATAATTTACATTTAGTGGACTGTCTCTAGTGTACTGTTTCCGATATTGAACGCCTATGAAAAATTGATTTTTATGGTACATAGTATTTTATGTTCAATAGATCACTTTGTTAAGTTGTTTACATTATAGGTTTCATTCTGCTTACTGTAATCCTTCAATTTATGGTCTTTAATGATGAAATTTCTCAAATGTAAATTATTATAATACGATGAACCTATTGAATATTTTCAATCATGATATCTGAAGTATTCGTGTTTGGACAAAACCAGAGGAGAAAAACACTTTACTGAATAAATCCAAACAGATAATTGAATAATAACAGGATGCCCTAATAAACTTATTTTTTCTATTTCACCAACGTACAGACCAGGCCTTTTAGAGTATAGGATTCATACTCGATAATCAAGATTACATCATCGATGAACAAGGAGGATCAAATGCAGACGTAAAGGTGAGAATCGACAAAGCAAGGGCCGCATTCCTACAATTGAAGAACATCTGGAACTCAAAACAACTCTCAACCAATATCAAAGTGAGGATATTCAATACCAACGTCAAGGCAGTTCTACTGTACACAGCTGAAACTTGGAGAACTACAGCAACCACCATCAAGAGGGTACAAGTATTCATAAATGGTTGTCTACGCAAGATACTCAACATTCATTGACCGGATACCATCAGCAACAGCCTTTTGTGGGAGAGAACAAGCCAGCTTCCAGCCGAAGAAGAAATTAGGAAAGGACGATGGAAATGGATAGGACATACATTACGCAAATCACCAAACTGAATCACGAGGCAAGTCCTAACTTGGAATTCTGAAGAGAAGCGAAAAAGATGAAGACCAAAGAACACACTACGTCGGGAAATCGAAGCATGTATGAAAAGGATGAGTAATGACTGGAAGGAGCTGGAAAGGATTGCCTATGACAGTGTTGGATGGAGAATGCTGGTGAGCGGCCTTTGCTCCTCCACGAGAAGTAACGGGCGCATGTAAGTAGGTAATCGAGGTTAATTAATTACTAGTTAGTTGAACCTGTTAATTGAGACATTATTTCTATATATATAACTTAGTATTTTCTGTTTATTTAGTTTTCCTCAACAGTAGAAAAATTTCTTTTACAAATTTTCACATTTTATTGGATAATAGCTCTACATAAGTAAACACAAAGAAAACTATGCATTATTTTCAAGGTTCACTTTATTATGATTTAGACCAACCATTAGTATACGTGACATTTAATTCATGTTTGTTGAAGTTTTTAATGCTTATGATAAATAACGGACTTGAAATGTTCCAAATTAAGCATTGACGTCTATTATGATGCAAGCCAACACTCTTTGACGATGTTGTTTTGTTATATTTAATCCAAAGTGAAACAATCAATTTTACTTCGTCTAATATACTAACTCATGTTTCGTTAGAAGATTTGAAGATACTAGTTTTAATTTCAAGAAATTGAAGGTGAACTGACAATGGGCAAGGAATTCATATTATGATTCTGACCGTATTTTCATCTACTTCATGTCATTTGGTAGGTAGAAATGAAGTAGCTGAACTACATTAACCAACATTTAAACCAGTAGGAACAGTATTTATTCGTAGTATGATCTTCGATAAAATAAATATCAATGGATAAACAGTTTAAAAATGAATATGAATCTTAGTAAGTGAACCATAAGCGTTTTTACCACTTTTACTACGTTTTCACAACGATCAGCTATGACAAGAAAATTATCTGAAGCTATATGTAATAATGCATTTCACCTCGAAATAAAAGACGCCTCATTTGAAATATGATCGGTTTGTTTACCTAGTTTAATTTGACGATTAGATAACACACTAGTGGTAAACACACAATATATGTTT